GAGTTAAAATATTAAAAGCTCACTCTTAATCTCCTTTAAGTGCTTCTAATTTCATTAAGAACTCCCTTATTATTCTCTTTACATCTTTCTAGTTTTTCACTCACCACCCTTGACTCACAAGCAAATAGTTACCCTAATAGGGCTAAAATAATCCACATACCTATAAGTTTGCTTATAACACATATTTATACTAGGTCTAGATAGGGTTTTCACATTCCTATTAAGAGTATAAATTGAAGTCCTAAAAAAAGTTACCATTTTGTCATATGGGCTCCAATGCTCGTCTTGATTCCTTGAAAATTAGATAAACTCGTCATCAATTGAAATTCCAAAATTGACTTGTCCAAATTAGGGAACTCCCTCTTAGTATCACTCAACTCTTTTTGGAGTTTTTCAAGTGGTGAATGTGCATGGATGTTATTCAACTCCTAGTGTAACTACTGTTAGGGGTGTTCGCGATATAATTTGATTTAGATTTTAATATTTTTTAAACCAATCCAATTTAATCAGTTTGTAAAATTTTTAAACTAATTCAATGCATTATTATATGATAACCAAACTAATCCAACTTAAATTGAATCGGTGTGATTTAATCGGATTGATTGGTTTTTAACACTATTAAATATATGAGATCATATAAAAATTTTAATATTAAGTAGAAAACATAACTATAAAATACATTAACATTCAAATCACTAGAAACATAATAAAATGCACAAATTATAAACGAGTTATACTCATTCACAATTGTAAAGATTGAAAAAATTTGAAAATTCTTCTTGACTACATCACCTGAAGCACTAAGGATAATAAGAGATGACTCTAAATTTTAAATATAGTGCAAGTAATTCTTAAATGTTAAAGCTAATATTTACCTTAATGCACCAAATGATTCAATCATATCACTCAACAAAACTAGTTTTTAACAAGAGTAGATGCCATCATTAAAAGCTCATATTCTGGTCACAAAAAGGTAAATAATGACAGGATGTCTCATTATGGCCTGTGGTTATATGCTTGGTGGTTAAAAGTTTTCAACGACAAGAGCCTCTTGCCTGTTACTAAAAGTAACACACACCCCATCATTAAAATATCATCTTTATGTCCACTACATTAGTTTATAATGAGAGTAATCCCGTCATTATATGTCAAATAATTTTCAAAATAAATAACAAATAACTACCAATCTATTTATTTGCAATGACCATAATTGCCTGTCATTGTTGGTTAAAAATAATTTATAATGATAGTAATCTTATTGTTAAATATTAAACAACCTTTGAATTAAAAATGCAAATAACCACCAAACTATTAGTTCTAGATATGATGATTACCGGTCACTAATTTTTATGTCGTAGATTATTCAATGAGAAATTGAAAGATAAACCTTAATTAAATAGCTAGAAAGAATAATTTTGACATTAACATCATAAATTATAATTTTCCACAATACTATCAACAAATGGATCTTCAAATACAAAATAGTTTAATTTACCATATAAAATTATCAAAAAGTACAAGGTCTCTAGTTGAAATTTTGCCTTAACCGGAATACCAAATCTTGGCTATATATATGCTCATCTCGAAGTCTCTTCACCTGCATTAAAAGATTTCCAATAAGAGATAATTATAATCACTTCCAACCATCAAAATTAATAAGAAGCCAATTTATGCAGAGTTCTATTCATGAATGATGTCTTCTTGGTTGCATCTTAACCAAACTTTATAATGGTTAATTCACAGGGTTTCAATGAAGCTTCAAATAACAGATTTTCAAGAGAACCTAATCAAAGAGATGACAAATAAGAAACAAAAGACAACATATACAAGTTTTAGCAACAATGCAATTCAGGGCACTAAGACAGTAAATCTACCTGCATTTTGCTACCTACCCTGTTCTTATTGCTAGTATTTTCAACCAAATCCAACTCCTATAAATAAAATGATTTCCTACTCACAATATATCTTTAATTGAAAAAAATGTATAAACAAATAAAACTACCTAACTAGTTAATACCCAAATTACCTTAACTGCTGCAAATTTCCATGCACACAACTTACATTAACATTTGCACTAGCCTGAATTCAAGGAAAAATAGAACTTACTGATATCAATAAACCACTGGAATGATCCAATGACATAAAGCAAAGTAGAAATGTCACATTTAAAAACCTAAAATATTATGTGAATCCATGCGAGGGATATTGACATCAAGAACCATTTTTGATGATTATACCTAATACAACACAATAAAATTAGTACCTTCCTTTGCTTACAGCATCAAATAGATGTAAAATGCATAAGCAAAATTAATTCTCCGTTATTCTTATCTTCCACAAATCAAGAAGAAAAAATCCAGAAAATAGGAATAGTAATTCTTTGTGTCTATAATCAATCTTTTCCATAATTTATTAATAGACTTATAAATTCAAAGAACAATATGCTTAAATAAATGAAAGAAAAACAACTAAAAGAATTCTAATTTTTCAATAGAATCAATTCCTCCAAACTACAAGATAAACATAGAATACTTTCAATCTTCTAAGGAAATAAGGACAACAAGCATGCAACTACCCACCAGATAAAGACATTTTGCATGGAAATAAAGCACAAAAATTGCCCACGGAATATGATAGCCTATGTAATAGAATCAAAACTAAAAGATAAGAGGACAGACATACCTTAATTAGACCATAAACCATAGGCCTGTGCTATACTCCTAAAAGTGCATTCACTACTAAGACTTGATGTTTCTACAAAAAAAATCACTTGAAACAGAATGAGAACAGAGTCCCTTATAGCTGAAATTAAGTGAAAGTGAGTGCTGAATCAAACTCCAACTAAGCAGTAAAATACTCAGTTAGTATTTCTTATGAAAAAGAGATATTCTTATATAGAAGTATAAATTGCAAAGAAAATTATGACGAAAAGAATGAGTGTATAATAGGAAATAAAATTAATTCAAGTGAAGAAAATTAAGCAAAGCAATATACTTTCTTTTAGCAAAAGTAATTTTATTGATAGAGAGTGAAAGGGTTCTCAAACCTTTAAAATAAACATTGGCACTTCCTCCATTCACCAATATAGAAAAACTCACAAAATTAACTTAATAACAAAACAATCAAAACAATATGCTAATACCGCATAGGTTGGAAGACCAATAAATAGGTCAAGCACTTACTGGAAAACAAATCTACTCACTAAATAGATAGTCTAGTAATTTTTAGAGGAATCCGATTGCCAGACAAGCATCTAATCTTGCAACCACAGCACATTTTCCAATCACATATCAGGATACCACTGGAATAGCAATTACAAACCAAACACGATAATAGCAGCCCAGAACAATACCAATGGCCAACAAAAGAAAAAAAGAGAAGCAAAAAGTGAATTTTCATTAATAATGGTAAACAGAAACATGAAATTAATAAAAAAAATTGTAAAGTAAAAGATGAAAATTTGAGAAATGAAATGATGTAGGTAAGAGAGAATGCCAAATTACTGGAGTTGGGGGTGAGATGAACTAGGGAGGAGGGTCGAGAGTTGATTGAGGTGCAAAATCTAGTCCTTTCCCAAATGGGTTTTCACCGATCAGCCTCAGAATCCAAAGAAAGAAACAAAAAAAATTGAGAACCCATCCTCGATTTTTCACTCTTTACGCACAGGTCTTTAACTCATTTGATCGCATCGACGGCTGTAACCTAAAGGCTTGGATAGTGGTTTCATGTTCAAAAATGCCAGAGTAAAAGTGGTTTTACAAATCCAATTTGGGAGATGGGGTGGTTTTGTGAGTCTAATTTGAGAGAGGGGAGGATGAGATGATTGTTTTGAGTTCGATGGTGTACAGACTAGGGTTTCAAAGAGAAAGTGAAAGGGAGAGAGATCGATGGTTTCTATGAATGAATGTGAAGGGTGGATCTTATTCTCCTAAGCCCAGATCCAATGGTTCTCCTTTTGCACTCCTAATAAAATATTTTTTTTTTCAAAAAAAATCGTAAAAATCAACCGCCCAAATTTATTTTTTAGATGGACATCCGCCCAAAATTTTAGACTATTAACCACAGAATTTTAACATTGGTGGTTAAAAACAAGGTTAAAGTATCATTTTGGTCCCTCAACTTTTTACTTTAGTATCAAAATTGTCCTTTAACTTTAAAAAGTATCAAAATTATCTTTAAACTTTCATTTTCGATACCAAAATAGTCTTTCCGTCAGTTAAATGACAAGCTGTCACTTAAATGACAAGTGTCACGTTAACTTGCCAACTAATCAATTCTTTTTTTGCTTAACTAATGACATGAAAAAAAAAAACCATAGTTGGCCTATGAGTTGGCATTCGTTGGCATTTTTATTGAATTTTAAAATAATATATTTTTTTATCCACGTCATCTCGTCTTCCTCTTTCACTTTCTCTCTCCTTTACCTTTCCTTTTCCCTTACCTCTGCAAACCAAATCTGAGTTCTCTCTCAAAACTCTCGATTCATTTGATCACCTTTTTCAGCAATGCTCAAGAGCTCATCAATGTAAACAAGTTCATAATCAAATCCTCATTGGCGGTGCGTATTGGTTGGAATTCTTAGCTGCACGAATTGTGTTGATATATGCTCGTTTCAGGCTTGTTTTTCATGCCCAGAAGTTGTTCGACACGAGCCCATTTGAGCATACCTCAAACTTGCTTTTGTGGAATTCAATTTTGAGAGCTAATGTCTCTCATGGTTACTATGAAACTGCCCTTAAAATTTATGTCAAGATGCATAAATAGGGTATTTTTGGTGATGCCTTCGCTTTCCCTTTGGTTATAAGGGCTTGTGCATTTCTGGGTAGTTCTTATGTGGGAAAGAATATTCATAATCATGTGTTACAAACTGGAAATCAGAACTGTGTTCATGTTGTTAATGAATTGCTAGGGATGTACACATAGTTGGGCAAAATGGATGTTGCACGCCATCTGTTTGATAAAATGTGTGAAAGAAACAAAATTTCTTGGAATATTGTGATTTCAGGTTTTGCATTGAATTATGATTGTGATGGTGCTTTTGAGATGTTTGAGCGGATGGAGTTGGAAGGTTTGGAGCTAGATGATGTGACATGGACATCGTTGTTATCAAGTCATGCTCGATGTGGGCAGAATCAGGAAGCTTTGAAGTTGTTTAATTCAATGAGGATGGGAGGAATAAGGGTCAGTGTTGAAGCGCTTGCTGTGATGTTGTCTGTTTGTGCTGATTTGGTGGCCTTTAACAAGGGAAAGGCGATTCGTGTTTAGGTGATAAAGTGTGGTTTTGAAAGCTACTTGTTTGTGAAAACCTAGTTTCTTCACCTCAAACACGGGAGAGTAGCAGTGCCACGAGCGCGTCCAAGATGGACGAGGTGAGCGAGGTTGTTGAATTGCCAGATCTGGGTTTGAGAAAAACCTAGATCTGGGTTTGAGAGAAGAAGAAGAAGGGAGAAGAGAGAGAAAGAAAGAATAAGAAGAAGAAGGAAGAAGGATGAGGACGGAGGAGGATAAGAGGAAGAAGATGAAGTTTGAGAGAGAACCCAGATCTGGTTTGCAAAGGTAAGGGAAAAGGAAAGGTAAAGGAGAGAGAAAGTGAAAGAGGAAGAAGAGACGACGTGGATGAAAAAAAAATTATTATTTTAAATTTTAATAAAAATGCCAACTAATGCCAACTCATAGGCCCATTATGGTTTTTTTTTTCCATGTCATTAGTTAAGCAAAAAAAGAATTGATTTGTTGGTAAGTTAACGTGACATTTGTCATTTAATCGGCGGAAGGACCGTTTTTGTACCGAAAATAAAAGTTTAATGATAATTTTAGTATTTTTTAAAGTTGAGGGACCAAAATGGTACTTTAACATAAAAACAAATAAAAAGCACAAATAACGATCGGATTTAAACTTGGTGGCTACTTGAAAGAAAAATAATAGTATTAACCACAAGATGTTAAACCCATCGTTATTTGTATGAAATTTTCATCATTATTAACGACGGGAATTCAAGTATTTTGTTGTTAAAAGTAAGTTTTGTTGTTGTGTATCTTCCAAACCTTGTTAATAGCAAATAAAATTTAACATAAATATCATTAAGAATGATTAGAAACATTCATAATTAAGATTTAAAACTTCCTAACCAAATATCAAAGAATAGTAGAATATCAAAATTAATTTTATATTATATAGTTTTAAAACTTCTATAATGATACTTCTAGAATGATACTTCTTAAAGTTTAGTTAGAGAATCAGAATATTATTTTAAAAACAAATTAAAATTTTAAGATTCTAAAAGTAGAGTCGTAGACTAGTTGTAAGGGATATAGTTGCAAATGAATTGGAAATTTAGAATTAGGGTTAGAGTGCATAATTTAGAAAGGAAAATAAATTAGAGAATATAGAGATATTCTATTCTTATTTTTTAATTAAGTTAATGGAATTATCATCTTATAAAATAAGAACAAATTTTAAAATATTACAAAAAAATATTGTATTATTTAATTAAGTTATCTTGTAATCAGATTTTATTTTGTAATTGAAGGGTTCAAGTAATTTAAAGGTAAAATCACAAGCCAAACCAATTATGTTGGTTTTAAAATTTTATAATCCAAACCAACCCAATTTTATATCGATTTAGTTTGGTTTTTCATTGGATTGAATCAGTTTAGCTCAGATCAGGTGGATTGGATTGGATGTGAACACCCTTAACTACTATAATGTTAGGGCAGCCTTAATGCACTAGCGTTGATCCTTTTGCCAATTTGTGAACACTACTATTAGACTTGGCAAATGGGTCGGATTGGGTGGATTTGAATTTGGTCGTCTTGGATCTTGAGTTTTTTGGATTTAGTCATTTTGGATGTTGGATGAAGTGGTAGACCCATGACCTACTCACATAGGTCTCAGATTAAATCGAGTGAATCTAACTCTTAAAAAACTAAAATTAAAATTAAAATTTTTTTATAATGTTTTCTATTTTTCTTTAACAAAGTTTAATATTAATTAACTATTTAGTGAGAAAACTTTATTAAGTGCTAATTTTCATTTTATGATTCAATTTTCATTCCAATCTCAAGAAAAGAAAATGGAAAGATTACTAATTATATAGGTAGAATTAAAACATATGTCAAATATATAATGTCTATACAATATTTAGAATTTATAATTTTATAAAGGCATGAATCTTCATTAAAAGAAAAGACATGAACCTTCATTAAAAAAAAAAAAAACATGAATATTCATTAAAAGAAAAGACATGAATCTTCATTAAAAGAAAAGACATGAATCTTCAAAGAAAAAACATGAAGGATTAGAGTTTAAAAGTCAAATCCAATATATATGTTAATATTTAATGTTTATTCAATATTTATAAAGTATTATACAAAAAATACAATTTTATTCAATATTTAGAAAGGTATTATACAAAAAGTATAGCCTTATTCAATATTAAAGTTTAAAAGGTAAATTTAAAATGTGTCTAAGAAATTGGATCGAAATTGATTTTTATTAACTAGGAACAAATTATTAATTAAGAATAAATTAAGAATTTAGAATAAATTAGCAACTAAGATCAAACCTTGATGTCTTTGATGTTCTTGTCATTGTGCTTCTAATGAAAATGAGAGTTCCTCAACCACTGGCTTTTGATTTTTAGCAGGCATTCTTGCTTTCTTTTTTTGTTTAAAAAAAAAATTTGACAATGTCATATGACACAACTCACTATTTGTCACATAATTTGATTTTTGACGCAAGTACCACCAAAGAGAATGATTAAAGAGCTTGAGATGAAGAAGGGGTGAGTAAGAGTGGAGAAGAGGAAAAGTTGAGAGAAAGAGAAACTGAAAGGAGGTTAGAGTTTGGATATTTTATTTATTTCTACTTTTAAGATTAGGAAATTAGAAATTTAAAATTATTTTTTATATAATTTAATAAAAAATAAATTAAAAATGTTCGAATAATTTTGGGTGATTCGATCCACCCGTGACCTAACCTATTTGGATTCTGATAATTTCAATTTGGATCATTTTGGATTTCAAATTGACACATAAGACCTATCACCTGACCCATAACAAATGGGTTGGGTCAAATTTTCGGATTGAATCCAATTTTGCTAGGTCTAACTACTATCATGAGACAATGATGTTACTGTAAAGAATGTAAAATATATTAAAAAAGGGGGCGAGAAAAAGGAAAAGTGTCTTTCTTTATAAACTAAGGTTGTTAGTCCTATAGGACCTTGGTTGCAAGCAAGATTGGAGTAAAAGGCTTAATCAACAAGAGGACATGTTATCTTAACAAAAGCAAGACCTTGCAATCCTACCCCAAGATGGCGGAAGAAAGCATTTCATTGTCAAGATAGATAGTATAGTGGGCCCTAAGAAGGTAGGGGTTGTTGTTCCTATGATGTGGACTAAAAAGTTAGTGATAGTGTAGATGGACATCTTATTGAATAGTTAAAGCTGGAGGAGTTTCTACAGAAGAATTTGTTGCAACATGAGTTTTGTAACTGGGAAGGGTCGCAATAATAACAAACAAAATTTAGAGTCAAAATAGAAGCATAAAAGGAAAGTTAGATTACCTCACCACTTATAGGGACAACAGATATATATGTAATCAGAGTAATGGTAAAATTGGAACTGGTAGTTGTAAGACAACTCCTTGACCCAATAGTAGGTCACTTTGTTATTAATTGCGTAGTAATGGGTTCGCCGCACTTATCTTCGTTAAAGGATGTCTTTTCCTCAAAATTTTGAAAAGTTCTCTTTGAAATTGTTTAGCATGTTTGATGAAACTTGTAAGTGTTTCAGCTTTTTTAATACTATTCATATTTCATAAGTTTAAATATTTATTGGAGAAAAAATTTAAAAGTTGCTTTTAGAAAGAGTAAAAAGTGAATAAAAAAGAAGTTTCCAAAAACCAAAGTTTAAAGTTTTTCAAAATTTACTATTTAATGTTTTTTTAAAGTTGAAAAAAAGTTAAAAAAAAATATAAGTTTTTAAAAGAGAAATTTAAACTTATGAAACATGAATAGTATCAAAAAAGCTGAAACATTTAAAAACTGAATCAAACATGCCCTAAATTGTGTAGCACTTGTTTCTAAAGAAACAAGGGTGTCTTCCTGAGGTTCCTTGAGTTGAGGCTCTTAAATCATAATAATCAAAGTTGTTTCTTCATGCTAGCTTTGGCAACTTTCTATAGGCGCCTTAATGAAGAATCACCTAGCATTTTTTGAATTCCTTTGGTTAAAGAAAGGAAGTGAAAGATAAGATTAATTGTTAAAATACTAATGCAGTTAAGATATCAAAGAGGGAAATGATATTTACACACTCTCTCGTTACACCATCCGTCACACACTCATTCTGTTTCTATTTCTCTCCAATTCTTTCGTTAACCCAACAGCTCTCCTCTTCACCCAGCACAACTCTCCTTTTCACCCAACACTAGTACTTTGATTTTCAACCTTCTTCCTTTTTTCCCCTCTTCCTCCTTTCTTTTGGAGAACCCATATTGGGGAGATCGAGTTCTTAAAGAGAACCCCGATCTGGGTTCTCCAGTAGAACCTAGATGGAGAACCCAAACCAAGTTCTCGATCTGGGTTCTCTAGATGGAGAGTGAAAAAAAAAAGGAGAAGAAGGAAAAAGGAAGAAGATAATGAATTTGTTGGAATTTTTACAAATTTGATAATATAGTATGTTGTTTAGTTGATAAGAAAATTGGAAACTTTCCTCCAACATTTCAAACCCAAGCCAATTAGAACAGCAAGAGGGAGAAAGGAAAGCAGGGAGAGCTAGAGGAAAGTAAAGATAGGGAGAAAGGAAAGCAAGAAGAGTAAGAAATGATGTTTGGAGATAACGGATTAAGTAACAAAAAGTGAAAGTGTGTGACGAAGGGTGTAGACGAAGAGGATAAATGTACCATGGTCCTATTAAAGACGAGTATACTAAGGGTGAATTGCTCGTCAATCTTGTCAAAAAAGGACAAACAATGTAGATTGTTTGTTGTTATCAAATGACAATTGCTCTAGTCAAAGCATGAGGAGCAAGTTTTTTCATGACACCCTCTTCTTGGGGTTAAGGTAGTTGGAATTGTTGGGTTAAGGTGGTTGGAATTGTTCTTGTTGGGATAAGTTTAGCAGCTAAGTCAATGGATTTTAACCCTTGCTGAGGTTGGAATCCCTCATAAAGAAAAATTATTGTAACCTTCAATTGGCAACCTTACCTAGGCAATCTGTCAGCAAGGATAACTTTCCTTCTCGTGAACATAAGTATATATGCTACCCTTGAGTTTGCAAATCTCAAAAAATATTTAAACACCGTTGTCAATATAGGAAGTTGCCTCTCTTGGCTCATAGTAATGAAGCCTATGATGCATCTAAGGTTGAGATGCAGTTTAGTGAGAGCTATCTCATACAAGTCTAGCACCAGCACCACAAAGAAATGAAAAGGAAATCTTAATCCTGCGGCCAGGTGATCTCTGTAGATAGGAAACCATCCACCAATAGGGAGGGAACTTAGCGTGTTCATCAAAAGAGGCAGCGCGCACCAATATTGTAATAGGGATGTGGTAACTTTTAACTAAAGTTACAAGATTGTCTTGAGCAAAAATTTTGACAGGAGCCCTACTATGGGCTTGTAAATCTCACCTTCGTGGTTTTTCCTTTATTAGAGATTTTCTATGTAAAATATGTCTCCTATACATTATTTTTACATTAACACCTTCCCCTCAATTCCTTTATGTTCAAAAAATAAAAAATAAAAAAAATAAAATGCATGCTTACGAAAACTTGTTTTCTTTTTTTTTAGATAAATTTTGATGTTGGGTTTTGGTTCTTTTCGCATTTTTTATTTATTTATTGCTTAAGCCAAAAAACTCTTTTACCAACACACACATCACACCTACTGGTGCTTTTTTTTTTTTTCGCCTCTTCTTTTTAGGCATTATTACAACTCCGAACTAGTTTTTATGTCATAAATGTTAGTAACACTTTTCTGTTGTCACAAAGAAAGAAAAAAAAAAAAAAGTGGGGTGACTCACGCGGATGTTGGTGAGCCAACCCCATTGCCAGCTGGGTGTCGGAGAGAGGTCCCCTGTCCCCAGATCTCTCCCTCTTCCTCCACGTGACTCATTCCATCTCTCTCGCTCTCTTTTTATTTTAAATTAAACTAATCCCATCCCTTTCCATCCTCCTCCTTCCATCAATTTTTTCCCCTGCAAAATTACCATCAATCCAAAGAGACAGAGACTATTATTTAAGTTTAAACGTGACTCACCACCTCTCTCTCTGTCCGGTTAGATTTATAAAGCAAGGAGTTTTGCTATTGGTTGCGGATTCAAATGCTCGGATCTGCTGGTGGTAAAACCGTTGTTTCATCTTTCAAAATTGTTTTCTGTTTTAGAAATTTCTGTTTCGATTGAATCCATTTTTTGTTGCTGATGATGTATGGTTGAGCTATTTTGAGAATTTTTTCGTGATTCGATTTATTTTGAAGTGAACTTAGTTCAAGTATTCTGCAACTAGTTTTTTCAGTATTAGATCTTGTAATTTGATCTAAATTTGGTTTTCTTCTGATTGGGTGATACTTTTGGTCGCAAGGAAACAAGATACGGGTTTTAGGTTGAGATCATTGCGCTACTGAATTTGCTAATTTGTTGTGTTATGGCTTTGATGTTGTAGGTCATATGGCCTCCAGCTTAAGGAAGTCAGTGCAAATTGGTTGTTTTGTTGCCTGAGAAGTATTTTCTAAATTACGAAGGTCATTTATGGGGTAAGACGGAGGGGCGAAATGGTTTTGCATTTTAAGTATTTAAGGAAATGGAGGAGACTGAGCAAGGGCCTTCTAGTGCAAAATGGTGGCATTCAGATTTTACGGAAAAATTTGAGTCTGTTTCCTTGGGTTCTAATGAAGAGACTTTGAGTGGTAAAGAATTACCCGGAAATTTTGATCAAGATGGATTGTCATTTCAGACAGCATCACAGATTCTGTGGAGCACTGGAATGCTTTCTGAACGGATCCCAAATGGTTTCTATTCAGTCATCCCGGTGAGAATTGAAATTTATTTCTTTGTGTTGTGATATCGTTGCCTTCGCTGCTTACTTGGTTTGAATTGCATTCTATTCTATTCTTATATTTCTTCCTTTTCAAAGGTAAACTCAATATTAGTTGGAAGACTTCCTTGGCTGAAAACTTAGTCTAGAGAACCTCTACTTTAGAGTAATTGGTTGGTCTTGATTTTGCAAATGATGAAACAAAGGATTACAGACTCTCTATTTGGCTACATCTTTTGGTGGTATGGAGTTATGATGTCTAGTTTATAGTTGTTTATGTCCTCCCCAAGTCATTGCCTAAACTGTGCCTAAGAAATTGGCTACACAAAAACAGGGTTATGGATGTGTAGTTAATTTAATAGCTCTCCTCTTTTATTCTGCCACTTGAACATTGCAGTTCATAAAAGAAACCAACTTTGCTGACACATGATCATTGATGATATTCTCTATTTTGTTTGATAGAAGTTTGTTTATTTATTTTTCCTATTTTAAGTGATAGTTTGTTAAAAATATTGTTTAACCAGCATTACTTATGTGGTAGTTAAAGATTATAGTGTCACCTAACAAACAATGGTCTTGCAATTTTCCAACTTAGGAAATATTAAAAACATGAAGAGACAATGGAACCTACTTCTATTCACTTATTCAATCTGTACTACAAAGAGATAATTGTGGAATATTCTTGCCTAGATGATTGATTAAAAGTTTTCTTTCTACTGTGATTATTAATTAGGAAGTGGGTGATATTTGGTTGGGTTTTGAGAAAGAACCATGGTGGATTCAACAAAGAGCTTGAAATATATTCATTCTACAATCAACATGGTTAATATTAAAATGGTATTTTGTTTGATGGAGTAAGTCTTATGTACTTATGTCAGTGATGATAGAGTAGTTTGTATGCGGAGCTGCCTCAAGCTCATATGTTAGGCAGACTTGTAGGAATGTGTTCATGATGGACTGGCTGGGAAAATTGGTATCTTTATTATTTATGTTAATCCAGATGGGAAAAGATAAAAGAATCTAATCTTAGAACAGTTTTAATTGGTGGAGGAAAACTGAACATCCTATAGGATGACCCAAAATTTGTTGTGTTCTTATTAAGAGTCTCAACTCACAATGATGCTAAACATTTGGAATTTAGTTTTAGATATAACTGAGCGGGATCTGGTTAATGAGTTTTTAAGAGGCATCTTTAATATATAATTTTGTTCTTTGGAAATTGTTATCTGGAGGGAAAAGGTTAATGCTGAGAAATGGTGCAAACTATAGAACATACAGGCTGAGTTGGAATACATGCTTCTCAAATGTGGTAAATTGAAAAGCTTTAGTTTTCTGGAATGAAGTGAATCTTCTTTAAGGGCCTTCCATCTTTTCAACCACTTGATAATCATTGGTTTCAATGACAGTTTAATACAAGCACTGAAGGAAAAGATTCCCTTCAATATTCTGGTGGGATACTGGATTATTCATCAAAAACAGTTATTATGGTACAAATCTAGTAGCTATTGGATTTATATAGCAACTTGAATAATTGGTAACATTTGTTTGGTTGTTACAGCTCTTGCTACTTTGGTTCCTTGAGAGTTACACTGAAGAATGCAACCTCTTTTCTGGACTAAATATTGTTGCTCCTCTGCATCCAACACATGATTGATTCTACCAATTCTAGATATCCATCCTAAATGACTTGCACTGATTCTTAGGATTTAGATGCTGCTCTCTTACATGTAAAACCTATTTGGTTTGCACGTCAGTTCCCGAGAATTTTGATTCAGTTGTTTGGATCCATGTGAGTATCAGGCTGTTTTCACAACAGTACCATAATACCCTCAATCAGAAGATGTTAATGGTGAATATGTTACACTATTTTTATATATAGCTCTTTGCATAAATTTTCTAAAGGTATAAATTCCCCATAACAATTGCAACAGATCCAATTTCCTAACTAGCCATTGTGATATGCTAACATATGTAGTAGTTATCCAAAATTAAGTTTACAACCTGATTGACTTCTAGTCAGTCTGAGATTTAATCCAATCTTAATGAGGGATGGGAGTGTAAAAGTAATTAAGGGGAAAGGTTACCCTTTATAGTCTAGTCATATAACAAAGAAAGAAAAGGGTCTACCACTATTAATAGAAATCAGGTTTAAAATATTTTTTACTAGGATCTTATAGTTTGTCATAAGCATGCATTGTTTATGTAATTTGTAAAATAATGTGTTGTCTAAATTACATGATGAATGAGAAAGAGGGGTAGTTGAAGGGTTTTGATGGTCATTTTATCAAAATAATAGTGAATAGTAGGTGCATAATATCTTCTTGCGGTAATTTCAGATTACCTAATTGAAGAGAGGCTTCTAAATTCTGACATTTTTGGCAGCTTAAGATTAATAGGCAAGTTTAGATGCCTACCATGTCAGACTCCATTGCAAAACCTAGTGCAGAAATTCAGCATATTCCTGGAAATCTGGATGGAACGAGTGAATCAAAACCCTATCCTTGCTTTATTGTCTCTTTGAATGGTTTAGGTTTTTTAGTGGAATTCCAGTATAGTGTCATTATCATAATTATTGGTAGGGGTTTTTTGGGTGCAATTATTGCACCTTTTTAACGTTAATTAGTTTTGAAAAGATAAAAGTTGACCTTAATTTAATCAATTGCCCAATTAAAATGATACACATGACAATGGTGGTGAAATTAATGTCAACTTTTGTCTTTTTCAATATCAACTAATGCAAAAAAGGTGCAATAATTGCACCCTTAACCTGTGCCCTTACTCCCTTAGGGCATAGGACACAGGTTCACAAGTTAGAAAAACCCTAATAATAAGAGTTTTTCTTCTTCTTATTATTTTCAAGCTTCTCATCGTACCATAAACAAGCTTTAATTTTTATGCTCCCTTTTATGGGAAGGAATTACTAGCTGGAAGTTTTACGTAGCTCATTGGTAAGGTTGGAAACCCTATCTGATTACCCTGTGATCATGTGGCAGATGGGGTTATTTTAAATTTTGATCCTGTACTTTTGTCTATTTGTTGCTATAATCAGTAACACAAAGCTCTTTTCCCTTGGCATGTAAAATTGGCCTTGAAATCTTATGTGGAATTTCCTCTAGTTCTTGTTGAAATGTTGACATATAGAGCATATGCTCCAGGGTGATCAGAATTTGACTGCTACTCCCACATACTGTTGCCATAGAACATATACTTTTTATAAGTTTGCAGTCAAAGACATGTTTACTGAAAGGTGCTTTTTTTTAAATTATGGTTTGAACATCACTAAATGCAGGATAAGAGACTCAAGGATCATTTTGATCGTATTCCAACATTGGATGAGCTTCGTGCTTTGGGTGGAGATGGTTTTAAAGCTGATATCATTCTTGTGGATACTGACAAAGATAAAAAGCTATCAATGCTGAAACAGTTGATTGTGACGCTGGCAAAAGGATTGAACGCTAATCCAGCTGCAATGATTAAAAAGATAGCGGGATTGGTGAGAATAGTTTGATATTTGTTTCATTTTAAGTAGCATGCATTTGTACATATGTTTGCCTCACTTCTTTTCCCCTCACCACCTTTCTTATTTTATGTTTCATAGCTTATTTGTGCACTATCAATAGCTTTGTTTCTATATTTTTCTTTTTATTTTTAAGGCATTTACATTGTAATTTTATGCTGACTGAACTAAGTTGCTATGTTTTTCTTTTTATTTGAAGCATTTACATTATAAGTTTATGTTCTTTTTTTCTTTTCTTAATTTTTTATCTTAAGTTTATGTTCATTGAGGGAGTGTGTCAGCGCATAGGTTTTATTTTATTTTTTTTATTATTTTTTATTCATTGCAAAGCATTTGAGGCATGCTTTCTACTGTCTGCAAACTAAGTTCATTTCATATGCAAACATTGAGGTCAGTTATTCTTGCATGTCTCCCCAGCTCCTGAGGAGCGTATGTTTTTAAGTGAATGTTCTATGTGCTATTTTATGCCATAAGGGCAAGTTTTTACTAAACTTCTAAGAAGTTTTGCTTCTGCTGGCAGTATATTTGAAGCTACAATGCTTAAATAAACATTTGTTTTCAGTATAAATATTATTGAAAAATCTTTTTTGAAAAAAGTCTGACCTGTAGAAGACATGGTGAGGTTTTAGAACTGAATAATGGTGAGTAAAATACAAGCATTCAAATGTGTGTCCTGGTTTGCACTAGATATGGGCTGAAAGAAGATACCTTTTATAGAGTTCTATGTTTCGTAATTTGAGATCTGGTTATTGCAGAAGTCCCTAAAAAGAAAAGTCAGTTGGTCAGTCCAACAAAATTTTCTTATTAAGATTTCCTCATTAACTAAAATTGCATAAATCCTTTTGTTTAAATACAACTATTATAATTCATGAACAGGAAGGCTAAATGGTAACTAACAATTCTTCCATGTTATATTTATTAGCATTAAACATCTAAGAAGTATATTTCATCTTGTCCAATATTGCTTCCTTTTGATTTATATTGCAAGTAATGCTTCTCTTTTGAAACAGTTTTATTCCTTGACTAGGTTTCTGATTTTTATAAACGGCCAACACTGGAAAGTCCAGCAAAAGCTGCAGTAGAGGAAATCTCCCACATCTTTGAGAATCGAGGTGTTCAAATGTTGGGGCAAATAAGGCATGGTTCATGCCGTCCTCGAGCAATTTTGTTTAAAGTTCTGGCAGATACTGTAGGTCTTGAAAGTAGCCTCATGCTGGTAATCAGCTTTAATTTAATTTTTAGGTTGAGATGTTCTGCTCTGTCCCCTTTGAACAATGTGAAATTTAATTTAATGAAATGGAGGATTGTGAATGATAATAGTTTAATTAGAAGGCTGTGCATATCTCTTCCCTTTCAGGGTTTACCAAATGATGGGGCTGTTGAGTACATAGATTCTTATAAGCATATGTCAGTAATAGTTGTGTTGAATTCTGTGGAGCTACTAGTTGATCTTATGCGATTTCCGGGTCAGCTGATACCACGGTCAACAAAAGCTATTTTTATGACCCACATATCAGCAGCTGGGGAGAGTGATTCTGCTGAAAATGACTCCTGTGATTCCCCATTGGAGCCAAATAGTCCTCTATATGGACTTTCAGAGAGAGTTGATCCTTACAGGTCGCTAAAAGTTGTTTGAATTGTAGTTTGAAGTGATTTGCCCTTTGAAATTATCTTACATTACAATTTTGACTCATGACTAATACATTTATTGTTATTTTCTTGTTTGGTATGCCACAGTGCTGACAAAGAAGAGAGCCATCAGTTTCCTCGGAGAATGGATTCTTGTGCAAATATATCTAGTTCTTTGTTGCGGAATAAGATGCTACAGTCTAACACGTCTATTGATAGGAAGTTAAGGTGATTGTTTCCTTGGCTTTTCTAGTAGCCTTTTTTCTTTTCTGTTCTCTTCTCATTCGTTGGTTTTTTACAATGTATGTTTCTGTCAAGATATATGACACCCCGATATTATTGTTATGAAGTTTAATTTTTCCACTCTCAGCTTGTCACATAGTGAACCCAACATTGCAACTGCATTTTGGCGACGCAGCCGAAGAAAGGCCTTTGTTGAACAGCGAACTGCTAGTTCCAGGTTTTTCTTATATCCTTTTGGCTGTTTGGATTTGTAAAGCCTAAAAAAGAAAATATTTTAGATTTGATATTGTCATTCTGTATTGTAAATATGCACTTTATCTGCCTTTATTAATTCTACTTCTGTTAAACTTTCCAGTTATTTCAGCCAGGTTTATATTTTTGTAAACAACAATCATCCATCTCAATTCTGCTTTTTAACCAAACCTTGATTCTGTGCTTACTGATTATTACATTGTACTATGTCCTTTTTCATTTCTGAGGAAATATATAATATTATGTGTAGTTAAGGTTTAATGTGTATAACAAGTCAGAATCTTTATTTCTGACTAAGCTTGCTTCAAACATGTATTAAGATTTATATTGCAATTGTTGTTAAGCTTCATATGTATTAATATCCTTAGGTAGCTTGAAAATTTTACAGCGTCTACTGATAAACAATTCTTGTCCTGGGCATCTTCTAGTTTTTTATTTCATTTTTTTTTCATCTAATCCACAGTTCATTGTAAGATAAATTACAAATGGCATGATACCATGTTGTGTGATTGACTGATTGTGTTTTGAAATTTAAAATGTAGCAGCTTGGGCCCTAAAAAACAGTTGAAAATGATTTTTAGTTGCCTTTTAGGACTTGAGAAAGCAAACCGTTTTGACCTTTGAATTCTTTGTCTGTTAGATGATGAGTTGGCTAGTATCATTGTCAGAATATTGGGTTGAAATTGAAATTATCTTTTTTCGAAAGTAGTGGATGTTTATTATGTTCCTTTTTTGTTTGGTTATTGTCAAAAAGCAAGGATTTCCTTATACTCTTGTCTCAAATTATAACTAACTTGCACTTAACTTTGGTAATGCTTTTATATAAGGGACAGTTGACTTTTTTTTGTTTGAATATGTAGTTCTCTTTTTTAATAGTTTCAATTTATCAAAAAATATTTTCAATTTACGATTCATATGTTATATAAAAGCATTACCTAAACATA